GTTCAATGGTAGAATTCTCACCTCCCATGCAGGAGACCTGGGTTTGATTCCCAGCCAGTATACCTCACGCGTACCTGCCACTCATCTGTCAGTGGAGACTTGTGTGTTGCTATACAGGTTCTAGTGGAGCTTCCAGACTAAGATGGACTAGGAAGAAAGGCCTGGCAATCTACTTCTGAAAATCAGCCAGTGAAAACCTTATGGATCACAACGGTCTGATCTACAACTGATCGTGGGGATGGCGCAGGACCTGGTAGCATTCTATGCCATTGTGCGTGGAGTCGCCATGAATTGGGGGCCAACTCAACAGCAGCTAACAACAACGTGTTATCACTATGCCAGGTACTTTACATGTATTGTTTCATTTAATTCATTTCATGACACGGTTATGATTATTCTCACTTCACAGATGAAGATACCAAAGTTTAGAGAAGTTTAAGTAACTTGCTGCAGGTTATACAGCTATGAAGAAACAGAACCAAGAGTCTGCCCAGCTCCAAAGCTCATGCATGCTCTTTTCACAATACTCACACTGACTTCTTGTTTCATAAAAAGGTGGAGATTATATGACTATCTATTTTTCCTCTAACTGCTGATTCAGTAAGTGATGAAGGTAAGTTAATATGGCTGCAGGAGGATGGGTAGAGGCTGGAGTTTCCTGAAAGCAAAGCTGAAGTGATAGAAGGCATTGAAAGAAGGCAGAATTCACTGTCTCGCCCCTCCCCACCCAATGATTCATTAATAGAATAAACTGTGGTGAATTATACTTCTGAAGCCCACAGTCTGTAGCCACATAAACGGAATTTTTATCTATGGAAAGTCCCGAATCACAATCAGACTGGAATATATCCATCCCTCTTCATGGTCCCTTTACATTGCCTCTCAAAGTATGGTCCTGTGATGTCTCTCCCAGAACTATCCAAGGAGCTGGCTAAAATGCAGATTCCCCAGCCCCAAACCAGATCTACCCAGTTAGATTCTTGGGAGGCAGCAGTGGGGAATGGCCTGGCACTCTGCATTTAAACTGCCCCCTCTGAGTGATACTTATGTTCACACTTCGTGGTTCAGGACAAGATTCCGCTGCGTCCTCATTTTCTTCTTTAATACCTTTTAAGGGACAACAGCTTCAACTACCAGGAACGTCTAGCTCTGGAGTCACCACCATTTTACAGAGGAGAAATTAAAAGAGAAAACGAGAAAAGGGCCATTAGGCAAGACAATAAAACTGCTACAAGGAGAACTGAGAAAATAGCCTGACCTCCCCCACAACACTGAGATGACTCCTTGGGGTCTTGGCTTCAGTCATTCCATGGTTCCCACCCACTGAGAAGATCCTGAGTCATAAATCTCCACAGAGGAAGATGGTGGAGAAGTTTTTAAGGCAGCTACTATCTCCTAGAAAGTTGAGATCACCTCGTAGCAGCCAAACCATATCTACTCTTTAGAAAAGGAAGGAGGGAGGTAAGGAGGGAGGGAAAGAAGGAAAGAATGAAGGAGGGAAGGAAGGAATGAAGGAAGGAGGGAGGGAGGGAGGGAAGGAAGGAACCAAACTCACTCCACTGGAGGTGTGAGCCGTGGTCCAGTGGCCTAGGGCACCTGGGGCACTAAGGTGATTCTCATCACGAGGCCACCATAATCTACAGTGCCTGGTGTTTGGCAGAAGAGCCAGGACCCTGACCTCTGCCCTCCTCATCCTCATCTGTTACCACCGCAGACCCCGACAGCTCACAGCTTACAGCTCCAGGCATCACCTCCTCCCCAGCCCTGGTAGCATCTCCCAAGTTCTTGGAGCATCCCTTGTAAGAACTGGCAGAATTCCTTTTCAGAAATTTGCTTCCTCCTATAGGAATCCCTAGGAACCCTGGTGGCACAGTGGTCAAAGGCTCGGCTGCTAACTGAAGGGTGGGTGGTTTGAACCCACCAGCTGTTCCGCGGGAGAAAGATGTGGCAGTCTGCTTCAGTAAATATTACGGCTTAGGAAACTCTATGGGACAGCTCTACTCTGTCCTGTAGGGTCGCTGTGAGTCAGAATTGACTCGACAGCAATGGGTTTACAGGAATCACTAAACACAAAACATTCTGCTGATTTTAGAACTAAAAACAAACAAGAAACCGCTGAGTTTGAGTACGCGACGTCTGCCACAGCACCCCAGAGAGCATCATAAATCCCAGGGAAGCTGTGTCAAAGTTGTTCCCCGCTAACCGGGTGGAGCGCCAAGAAGAAAATCTGCAGAGCGGTCATGGCAAATAAAATGAGAAGAAGGCTGGAGTCTCAGACTTTTCGGACTTGGAACTGAAAAGTTTGAGTCTAAAAAGGAAAACATGTCACCTTCCTGCCAAAATAAACTGTGATGAAAGCTTAGAGCCCACCACCGTTCAGCCAAGCATTTCCTGTTGGGCTCCCGAGACTGCTCACACTAGCTCAGATGAGGGACAGCTATTTTTAAGGTGCTTCTCTCATTCTGCACAAAGAATGAGAGAAGTTATTTATAGTTGCACCTTTCAACTGCTTTTTTCCCCTCTGGAGATAGAGGTTGGCTTGGCTTTCTCTTTGGATCTCACATCACTGGGGTAAGAAAGACTTTGAAAGGTCGGGGCACAGTCAGACTATCTCCTCCAGACGGATTGTTTCCCTGCATGATGAAGTTGGAAAGCTACCCAACACTTCTTTAGGAATTCCTTCTAATATACACGTACTTGGATTATGCAACACATGCGCACTTGAGAAGTGTTTTGTAAAACATACTTTTTGTATTAAAGATGATTTGAAAATGCATTAGTGGTTTTGCTATTTAAAGGAATCCAACAGTAAATCTTTCCCCCATCCCCCTACAGAGGATGCAAATTGCTGTTGTTGTTAGGTGCTATCGAGAGTTGCTTCTGACTCATCACGACCCCACGTACAACAGAACAAAACACTGCCTGTTCCTGCGCCATCCTCACAATCATTGTTATGCTTGAGCCCATTGTTGCAGCCACTGTGTCAATCCATCTCGTCCAGGATCTTCCTCTTTTTTGCTGACCCTCTACTTTACCAAGCATGATGTCCTTCTCCAGGGACTGTTCCTCCTGATAATACATCCAAAGTATGTGAGACGAACTCTTGCCATCCTCACTTCTAAGGAGCATTCTGGCTGTACTTCTTCCAATACAGATTTGTTCATTCTTCAGGCAGTCCATGGTATTTTCAATATTCTTTGCCAACACCATAATTCAAAGGCATCAATTCTTTTCTGGTCTTCCTTATTCATTGTCCAGCTTTTGCATGCATATGAGGTGACCGAAAAGACCATGGCTTGGGTCAGGCACACCTTAGTCCTCAAGGTGACATCTTTGCTTTTTAACACTTTGAAGAGATCTATCATGCAACCAGATATCTCCAAATTCACATGGGTTTGTAAATTTAGAACTTGTGTTAAATTCTCTTGAGGTCGAGCACATTTATATTTAGTGTTCTAAGAGTCTACAAGCTCTTTCTGGTATTTAACTACATCTTTCCTCTTGTAACTCAGGGATATTTTCTTATTACGTTAAACCAGCTCACTCTTGGAGTCCTTGGGTGTAGTGATGCAAACAGTGAAGCACTGGGCTACTAACCAAAAGGATGGCAGTTCTACCCCACCCTGTGGCTCTGCGGAAGAACAGACCTGGCAGTCTGCTTCTGTAAAGATTACAGCCATGAAAACTCTACGAAGCACAGTCCTACTCTGAAACACTTGGGGTCGCCAGGAGTCGGAATCAACTTGATGGCAACTGGAAATCCACTCTTAGTATCAAACCTAGCAGGACCTATTATAGGCCCTTGGAATTTATCAGTAAATGAAAGAACATCCCTGCCCTTGTAACACTCACGAAAGCATCATCTTAGTTTTGGTATCACTAACCATATCGGCACCAATGTTACCTTCTTCAGAGTACCCATCGCTACTGGCATTATGTTGTTGCTGTTGGCTGCTGCAGAGGCAGCCCCCTGACTCATGGCAAGCCCATGTGATACAGAGCAGAACCGCTCCATAGGGTTTTCTTGGCTGCAATCTGTACAGAAGCAGATTACCAGGCCTTTTCTTCCTCAGAGCCACCGTGTGGCTTAGTAGCTGATCACAAACTGCTTGTACCACCGAGGCTCCTACAGTGACATTACAGTGTTTGTTTATGTCTCCCCCACTATACTGTAAGCGTCATGAGGACTTTGTTCATTCATTAATTTATCACTGTTTACAAGCATCAAAAATATACTAGATGCTCAACACTCATTATTCAATTGATGAATTTATCTTTAGTTGAAGTCACTATGGTATTTGGAAGTATTAAGGGTGTCAAAGAGGCTCCTTTTATTTTTTATTTTTTAATCATGATGTCTTCCTAAATCTCTTACCTCCACTGTCTTCACCTACTGTCACAGCCATTATTATAGGGATTACTTGAACGAGAGGAGGATGGTTTCTTTCTAAGTTCACTGGTATCAATGGCTTTAATTAAGTCAAACTTTCAGCTGGTGACTCTGCAGGACAAGTTGGTGGGCATGACCCACTTCCAGCTTCCTTGCTTCCTCCTCTTCTGGTGGGTTCTTTGTTGAGCCAGGCCAACGGGATCATGATTCAGCTTTGGCCAAAGGAGGTTCTTGCTGCATCATTGTGCTTGTACAAAATGCGGTGCCTCAGACCATTCAAGGAAGAAAGAGAAAAGACTGGAAACTCTTTGTATATAGAACCTAGGTCTAGAACCAGATCTACTAGAAAAGTGGGAAGAAACAGCTGAAGGATCCAGAATGACACAGGAACTTACAATGGTTGTGAATCAACAGTACTTGGCACATGGTAGGAGTTCAAGAAGGTTTTTTTGACTGAATGAATGGAAAAATGATACACAAATGATACCTGTGTGAGGGTACTAGATGTATTTACTTCTTAGCAGTTTCAAGTAATTATTTTGGGAACACATCCATTACTCCAAGTACAATGGAAAAAATAAGGAGAACAAAAATTCAGTTAGTCACTTACCTTTTTACTTAAGTGGGGACCATTGGTTCCCCCAATGCTCCTCTGTACTGATGGTGGCACTTGATACACATCTTGTTCTTGAGTACCATGGCCAGTAGGGACTTGGTAAATTCCCTGGTTTTGATAGGAAGGTGGCACTTGGTAGATGGTGTCCCGAGGTGCAGCCTGTGGGTTTGGCACTTGATAGAGCTTCTGTTGGCCAAAGGCCTGGTGCATTAGTCCAGAAGGAGGCTGGTCCTGACCAGCAGGGATTTCCTGCACGGGACCAATCAGAAGCTTCACACGGTTGCCTGGAACAATGCCTTGCCTCCCGTGTAAGGAGCAGAGCCACCATCCCTCCAGTCCTCCTGTGTTCTGCTCGATCACTGTCAGGATGTCTCCCTTGCGAAAGGCCAACTCCTCAGCACATTCTGGGACATTGTCATATAAGGCCCTTGCCATAAGATTCTAGGAAGGAAGGAACAGGGAAATCATGTTAGAATATTAACTCAGTCCTTTTCACACCTAAAGCCCATTCTCTCATGGAGAGACACACTTCCTGGAAAGAAGAGAAGAAGAAATCTGAACAATAGCCTGTAAGGCGAAAAACAGATGGTGAAGACAAAAGACAGATACATACATACTGTGTCTGCCACCAGTGACATCAGACTGCCTCCTTGGAAAAAAGCTCAATACACCAGAAGAGTTCTTTCTTCTCTCAGTAGATGCTGTGCCAAGGAATTATGAGCAGCACTGTTCAAAAGTTAGAGAACAGTTCAGTATACAAAAACAGTTTTCCTCCTTTCTTAAAGCCAGCTTAAGGAAAAGAGTATATTCTAAGATATTGAGATGCACTACAATGGACATGTCTCAATTTTTTCATATACTGGAGGCAAACAGAGCCAAGGAAGATCCCAAGTAACTATTAGTACAAATGGTGTTTGCATTCTGTGTTGGAATGCAAACACAAGTCCACCTACATATGCGCCGGAGGCGTCAGGGCTTCAAAAATATTGTTCTCAGTGATCATGAGGTTCTTGGATACAGGAAGAATCAGTAAACAGGGGTGAGAATCTGCAAGCAAGTGTCTCTTCCACAGAAATCAAGCATGGAATATAGGGTGACAGTAGTCTACATATCCAGATTTGACGGCAGGAAGCTACAAAGAATTTCTAATACGGAGGTAGATGCCAACTCTTTCTCTTTTGGTCTCTTACTCGGAACTTTCCTGGGGGCCCAACCTCACCCTGCCACTTTATCACCTACATCTTGAATCTCACCATTCACATCTGAAAGGCTGTGCCTTCCCCTTTCATGGGCCCAAAACACTCTCCCTCTTTGTGTGAAGGCCTGTCTGGCACATTCAGTACTGAGCAGACAGCCAAAGTAGGCATTCAGCAGAGAGTGGGCAGGCAGTACGTGCTGACATTCTTGGAAGCCTTTCAAAGGCTCTGAAGATTTCATTTCTTGGCGTTCGTAATGTTTCCCAGCACACTGGCAGCCACAACCGCAGGCCTGCCTCCTCCCCAGCTCATAGAGAAGTCGGAGAACGTTGTAAATTCACTGCGTGCACTCGAGAAACTATGTGATCTCTCTAGTGCTTTGCTAAAATGTTTGGATGCACTTAGTGTCATTGTGGTGATGATCATTTATGGGGGAAAGGGCTGTCACTTGGCTGGAGCATGTTTGTAACTTTATTTCACATTATAATATATTCACGGAATTTGGGGCTGCTGTTGTTCGGACTCACACCCCTCTTTTCTTCTCTACAAATGTGGACTTGATCTTTCAGACTGGCGTTTTTCATACCTTCATAATTGACTTATATTAATCTTTTCCCCTGTAATGTGGCACATAACCAAAGGTCTTGCATTGTGTGATGGTTCTCTGCTATGGAGTGACTATGTTATGTAAGGAATTGTCCCTCTGGTTAGTAGTTGGGAAGGGTCCTAGTTCTCCTACAGCTGGCCAGGTTCCTGGGAGTCAGTGCAACTACCAACCTAAGGAAGGGAGACAAAGCCATAAAGCTCAGTGTCTAGGAAGCTTGGTGATGCTCATCAAGAACAAGTTTGAGGTCCTTGTTCTTGACAGTTATGACTCCAGGAAATCTGTGACACATAGACAGGTGAGCAGTAAAGGCCACTAAAGGAAGACAAAGGGGTTTGTGTTTCAGGTGAGGTTTTGATTAGTATTTATATTCTAGGAAAGCTTTGGGTTCCTTCCAACAATTAAAGTTCCCATACATAAAGACAAAATTGTGCAGCAGTCTACCCTGGTTTGTGGGACCATTTAAGGATGTATCATAATCTTAAAATCTCCTGTTCCTCTTCTATTTTGGGGGGTGTTCTGTCACTAGTAATTTAAAAGAGAAATCCTAGAGTTACAGAAGTCAAGAGTCTGGTCCTTTGTACCTAAGTGATCTCAAGGAAATTACTCCATCAGAGTTGTACTGTGACATGGAGCAGGTGAATGTTACTGCTTTGGTCTCCCTCCCTTTCTCCTGGGTCCATTCAACAACTGGGAATGACTGATAAGGAAGTCTCTAGATGAGATCAGAAGTAATGGAGTCGGGGCCAGTTCTACTGAAGCTGAGGGTTGATAGCTGTGCAATTGTGTTGACTATAAAGAAGGGAAAGAAGAGAAACAGAAAAGAGTAGAGAGGCAATGGAGTACAGGCTTAATCAGCATAAATCAGCTGGAGGCACTGGGAGTTGAGTCACTTTCATGTCACACCAGGCAGCACTGAAATAGAGTACTGGGCCATGCTTGATGAGAGGCAGATAGAAATCCCCATGCAAGAGTCTTTTGAGATGTCCTTTGTCTCTTGTCCCACTAACCTTCCCACCACCTGGTAGACAGCATGCTAGTGTTTCTAGACAGTACCTCAAGAGCTGCTTCTCAGGGAAAACTTTCAGAGCCCCTTTGTCAGTGTTAATGCAGGCACCAGCAGGGGAGTTTTCCTAATTGGTTGTCCATTATTTCCCAGTAGTCTTCCCCATTGCCCACAGAGATTGGTATTTAGAAAGAGAGGTTGGCACAGCTGCTGATGGCAGGGACCCCAGCACCAGCCTGACACCTATTCATATACTGACAAATATTTTCAGCCTTGGCTGAACAGAAGTTTGAGTTGTTTGATATCTGTGCATGCTACAGAGAGCTAATGTTCACATCCAACCACTCTTCCAAACAGAAGTACAGCTCAGAAGACCTTAAGAGATTGCCTGACCCGATGTCCCCATTTTACAGATGAGGAAACAGGTCTGGGGAGGGCAGTTTATCATCTGCCCAAGGCCACACTGATGGTGGCAGAGACGGGCTAGAACTGTGGTCTCTTGGTTCTTTGTTCACTTCTCTTTCCAGAACTCTAAGCTACCTTAGCTCTACTACACAATGTCCTTCTAACTGGGCACAATTCCATTATACAAAAGTTCTAAAGATGACTAACTCTTCTTTCATGTCTTTAGAATAAATAGATTCTTAGGGTTTTGTGTCCTAGCTGTGTTACTTGGCTACTTCTCCCCTCTGTGCCTTAGCTTCCTCATCTGTACAATGAGAATAAGGATAACAGTACCAACCTCATAGGTTTGCTGTAAGGACTAGTTGAGTTAACATTGCCCAAGACTTAGTAAGCTATTATAATTATTTTTGTATAATTTTCTAGATGTCACTTTGACTTTAGACTCCCTACCCACTTCACCATATCTCAGTTCTCAATCAAGAATTGCTCCTATTTAACAGGGAACCCAAGGTCGAGAAGGGAGAGTACTGACATGTCATGGGGTTGTTAACGAATGTCATAAAACAATATATGTACTAACTGTTTAATAAGAAGCTAGTTTGTTTTGTAAACCTTTAAAGTACAATAAAAAAAAGAATTGGTCCTATTTTATTCATACTACCATATAAATATATATATATATGAAGAAATTGAAGATTTTTACCAACTTCTGCAGTCTGAAATTGATCAAACATGCAATCAAGATGCATTGATAATTACTGGTGATTGGAAAGCA